TTTGATAGGCATATAAACAGAGTATGTCTGGAATATAATGATTCATTTCTCAGAGGCTGAGACTTGCGTTCTGGACACAACAATTATATCAACAGTAGTGAAAACAGTTGAAAAACCTAATATTTAGGCGTAACTAAGAAACGAATATATATTTGCAGTTACATTATTTGAACACAGATGTCGGAGAAATATTGCGCACATCTGCCAGGATCACCGGGTAAGAAACAGTGAGGTTAAGTGCAAGTTAACTCCGCCTGTGGCTATTCTAGAGTTACTGCCGGTCCCAAGCCCGGATAGAGGAGAAGCGTTGGGCATGGGGTTATCGAACCCATCCAGTAGAAAACTAACTCGCTAAAAAAATGCTAACCAGAAAAACAATTCAAGCCACTTAAACTCTGCCTTGGGAGTTAGGTCTTCATTTAGGGGAACTATGACGCCTCACAATGAAAGCCGAATTCCTTCGGAAGCCACGGAGCCGATGCCCCTTCCATCAACCAAAGCAACAATTTTTATAGGTACATGGAACGTCCGGACAGTGTGTGAGACCGAGAAGACCAGTCGAATAGCAATGGAAATGAGGAGATACAATTTGACAGTACTGGGAACAATCGAAACCCGTCGGACCAGAGCTGTTGTATTTAAGTACCTTAGCTTTCTCCTTGTGTATGTTTAGGCCTAATGATACAGAGACTGCTGTTACACCGGCCGTCTTTATCTGCATTTGTTCGTGTGTATGCGATAAGATGGCTAGGTCATCTGCGAAGTCCAAATCGTCTAGTTGGTTCTGAGCTGTCCATTGTGGGCCGTGTTTTCCCTCAGATGTCGAGGTATTGAGACTGTTTAGCAGGACCTTATTTACCTCACAGCTTGGACTAAGATAGACCAAACTTATCAGCAGCTCTTGTCCCCTGCATTTCAAACGTCCCATTTTCATGGGATACTTTGTCGATAATGATATATGGGATAGCATTCCTAATGAATAAAGCTACTCCCCCTCCTTTACGCTTTCGTATTCTTTCGTCCCTTACTAACGTAAAACCCTCGAAATCGAATTCCATACTATCTGTGGACTGTGTCAGGCAGGTTTCTGTGACTGCGATTATGTCTGGCTTCGTAGAGTCGATCTGCACACCTAGTTTCGACCGCTTATTGAGCAATTTTTGGGCATTAGTGTAACAGATCCGAAACCTATTTACATGGCTTCGTGTTGCATCCAAAGTGGCGTTGCCATCATTTTCTGTCAAAGCCTCACAACCCGAAAATTTACAATTTTTATGTCCTTTTCGTTAGCGTCTAACCTAAGTTGTAGTTCTTTTTCTTTTGTCCTTACGGACAAAACTCCTAAACCCTTTAATTTATGTTTATTCTGTAAAATTAAGTACCGTTCATTCGGGGATTTGAATACTACTATGAGCAGTCTGATTTGATTAGGCTTCAAGTTTGCTTGACTAGCTAGTCTATACACCTTTAGCAAGGTGACTCGTGAGACATTTTTAGGTATAATTTGATTAAGTAGCTGTTTTATCAGCACAATTTCATGCTCAAAACATGTTTTCAATACAGAGTCTTTGCTCTCCTTGATTATATAAACAATAACTGACCAGTCACTGTGTTCAGTCTTCAGTTTCTCGAGATAGGATTCCCTTTTATATAGTTATGTCGTTTATTGCTTACAACCTATACCCATTCATCAACGTTGGTTGGATTGGCAACCACAGTCGCGTCAAACTTACTGTGGGATTCCGGAAGGTCGTCGACGATTTGGGAAGTCAGGTTGTGTTTCCCGCTGGAAACCGATCCAGTCTTGCGACTGCGGCTTCTAGGCGTTTCATGCTGGATAACATTTAGAAGGCGGGGAAGAGAGGAAATTTCTTCCTTGAGTTATTAGTTAAGACAGACCTCTTTGAAGACTGTCTTTCCTCCTTTGATCGATGTACGTCAGTCGTTTCCGAACTCACCTGAGTTTGCCTCACACTAATTTGCGTGTCGACAGAGCCAGTGCTGTCCGATACGTCCCGACCACACTTGCTGAAACACTTTTTTGCAGCATTTACCATTGGGACGGCCTCGGTTAGCAAGCTATTTGCATCCGAACAGCACTGCTGACAAAGCCATACACAAACGTTTTTACTGAACCATTTAAAAGCCGCAGGCGTTAAGTTCGTGCAAAATTCGTGGTACCAGCTTTTGCACTCATCGCACTGCCTGCCGCTTTCAACGGGATATCAACAACCCGGATGTTGGCGATTGCTTTTCTTAAAGTGAACAAGACACAATAGTACCCAGAAACAAAAAATGATCTATGACCAAAACAAGTGGAAAACTGTAGATTGTTAGAACCAAAAGTACTAATCGATACAATAGAAAACAAAGTACTCAAACGTACCGACAATAAACTACTTTAGAAACAGGAACGATATTCTAATCGTATACTTTAACTGAAATAAATTCAGTTAAAGTGTAAACAGTAGTCTTAATACGTAATAAGCGATCAAAACAATATAATTTGCTCAGCGAGAAAAAATACCACTGTCCTTTTAAATAGTGCGCGCAGAGATATACAGACAAAAATACGCCTAGGTAGATAAGGCATATATATAAGAAGTAAGTAGGTACAATAAGAGTAGCAGAACTAACAGTTACACATATATGAGTCCATAGGCGTGTTAAAGATTATGAAATTACCATTCAGATTTTTATGACCCTGGTGTTCTAAGTTCGTTTGCATAATGATAGTTCTGCACAAGGGTGCAATTAAAGTGTTGCTACATAGTTAATTTATTTGTTTTGTTGTCCGGTTTATGCAAGACTAACACGATTACTGTTAAATGGTGCTACGATGATTTACATCTAGCATTCTCAGTAAATGGTGACTGAAATCGAAAAAAAGTGACTCATTCAATCATTAATCAATAAAGGTACAAAGTGGTCGCAAAGTTGAAAAAAACTTTTGTATTAATGTACTTTTACCGTGTTTGCTCGAGGAAATGTTGTTTCCGGTTAAATTTGCTTAATCTTCTTGATGTTGTAAAACACTCATTACATACAGGAAGTTCTTACCATGATTTTGTACTTAAAACTGCATATAGTATCATTAGGGAGTAATTTATTCCAGAATGCATATATAAATATATATAATTATGATGTGTGCTACTTATGTTGACAGACATAAGTAGTGTGTAACACCAATCAAAAGTTAAATGGATGGCAGCAGAAGGCTAAGAAGATCGAATTGAAGAAAACAGAACTGAATTTAAGAAGGAATTGTAAAGTGAAAAAGTCATACAGTGTGTGAAGGACAAGTGATGGAAATTTGAAAATCAAGTATTCGATGTACGGTTTCTATATTTTCCTTAAATATTCTGTAATTTTGTAAGGAAATACAATTAGCTGTCTTCATTTATCTTCTTGTTCATTGCATAATGAATGTAATTCTCATAGTAAAGTCTACAAGAATGTGTTTAATAAATTGATAAAGAAACCACTGAACTAACTGGAAGCTATGTGATATAAGTGAAGTGTGGCGTCGAGTCGCGATTGACTATGATCACCACTACAGGAAGGTTGTGTACGAAATATCAGAAGGCGATTGAAGGTTGTAGCGAAGTATATTTATTGGTGATCTCGTGGTATCGAAAGAATACCGAGATCGTACCAAAGGAGTACAAGCGAATTTACTGAGCAAACGTAAGTTCGTGCAAGGTCACAACCAACGGAAGGAAGAATGAAAGAATAATAGATGTCTTTAGTGCAGTTAAACAAACAAGCACAGTAAAACAATCACTGGTACAATTGGTTATAATAATAATTGTTTCCATTAAACCAATCGCGTTCTCTTGATAAAAGTAGGTCACTACCTAAGGAACCATAAATAATGAAGATGTAACTAAAGTTATTATTTTTTTGAGTTAAATAGATGTAGTCTCACTTTCCTTTGCTAAAACACTAGTGGTGACATTGGAAAATTAAGAGCAACCATAGTTGAAAAAAAACAGCTCATCAACTATGCTAAAGATATTTCATGGATGGATTACAATGATGATATGTAATGAAGGGTTAGCTTTAGCAGAGTCTAGTGACATTATCATCAAGTTTTTAATACATTTCACTTATATACTCTTCATAAACGTAGTTTATAAAAAATAATTTTGAACTATGTGATTGATTCCCAAGGTGTAATCTATTGGTTTTAGAATAAAAGTAGGCACCTGGCGGCACTACATATACGGGTAAAAGAATGAGTTATTATTCGAGGTGAAAAAGGACGTTTGATCGAGTGTAAAGACAAATCTTGATCATAAATTTGACTAACAAGGGGATAGAAGTGAAACATATCATTATGAACCAGAAACAAAGCGAGTATAATGAATAGATATTACCACAACAACAAAAGGTGGACAACATAATAAAAATTGTTGAAGTTTCTTCTTAATAATAAATGCAAAGCGTATCATAACTTCTACCACGCAGTCACTAGGCTATGTAACAAATATCAGCTGAAAGCTGGTTACTTCATAGATGATTAAGTTTTAGTAGACTGATGATTACTGTATTTTCATTATCCTGTTTACTCAAGGTAAAGTATTTCAATTTTCATTAGGTAACTGCGTTGTGCAGTCGATAATCTATGAAAGACCACGTGCCGATTAAAATGTTTCTTGAATGGGAATACACTATAAGATAAACAAACACACATATTCATGAAAGGTATAAAAACCACTTACAACTGTCTTTAAGTGATAAGTTGTAATTTGTTATGTAACAAACATTGATTTCACAGTTAAGCGATTGATTAGTGTCATCCATTCCACACAGTAATAATTATTATAATAATAACACTATCATGATAGATTGTGTAATTGGCAGTGAACTCGTGTAACGTATGCGGGATTGTGGATGAACACTGCACAGGAGTCTTATGCTATAACGAAACGGCCGTTCAGTGTTTCCAGGTATTCAATAGTAGTCTAGCGTAAATCAACTCATCAATTCAAATAGTAAAAATTACTACAATCTCCACAAACCCTCATTCTAACCATAATTAAAATGTGCTCACTAGGCACTGGGTTCAAGATGGATTTCATGGAATTCTAGTGAGAAGGGTTGCACAAGATTACAGATTGATTGAAGTTACACATTAACACCGTTAGGTGGTAATTTAATGGTCTAGAGGTTAAGCGTTCGTGCACGAGACCGAAGGTCCTGAGTTTGAGTCCCCTATGCTAAATCATAAATGTGCACTGTTCAAGAGTCTCATACTAGAATAAAACAACCGTCTAGTACTTCCAGGTTTTTGAATGTCAATCTAGCTTAAATCGACTCATAAATTCAACTATTAAAAATGACTACAATCTACACAAATCGTCATTCATTATTCTTCAAAACAGATGGATCAACATATAACGAGAACAAAACATTTTCACTTACTTGTTTTGTTTTTTTTTCGACAAAAGAAAAACAAAAATAAAAGAAAGCTGAAAACGTATAAACACACCCGTCCACACACACACACAAATACAATCAAATTGATTTCATTATTATGTAATAATATAAAAGATAAACATGAATGAAAAAAAACTCAACTCAATATTAAGTAGTATATATCTAAGTTACCAAAAATAATTGATCAATTATAAAATAAAGGCATATTGATTGAGAGTAATGGAGTTTTCTTTTATTCTTTTCTTTTTGTTGTTTTTCTTCTTCTCATTAAAAAAGAAAATTGTTACCATGTGTATTAGTCAATTCAACGAACGTGGATTAATCTATTGATCTGATTTACAATAATCAGATAAAATAATAAACAAAAAAAAGAGAGAAAAATTCCGAAAATAAAAAAAGTTTATTCTATAATCTGTGAGAATGTTTTTTCTTTTTTTTTCTTTTCTTTTTTTTCTTTTTTGCTTTGAAGATGAAAATGTTTCTTTGTTGTTGTTGTTGTTGGTGGTGGTGGTGTTGAAATAAAAAATAATTCAGCATATCCAAAAAAAGAAATATGGAATGGAATGTTTCCAAGTATTTGGGCAACAAATACAAATGCATTACATATGACATAAAACTGAAAAATACTTCACCCATGTATACTTCAACATGTTGTATAGATATAGATCTATCTCTCTGTCTATCTCTTTATTGTTTAACGTAAAGTATGTGGTGGTCCAAATATTTGATAAAGCATAAAAAATGCTAATTCATGACTACTCCAATAACTATTATGTGCACCTAATATAGCAAGTGGTGAAAATGATTTTTGCCATTCATAATCAACACGACGTCGAAGTTGTTTTTCATTCATTGTTGGCATTGAACGCATTTGACATAATATTGGATTTAAATTAGTTACATTAGATGATCGTCTAGTTATATAATTACTGAATATTTTCACTAAATAAAGAGAAAAGAAAAGAATATTGTAGAATTTAACTTATTACGTAATTTATAAAAAAAGAAAGGAATAAAAGCAATTTTAAGCAAAGATGAATAATAGCTAGCAGTGGAATACAGTTTGATGTGCGTTTACTCCTATTTTTGAGACTCATCAACTGGGTGTATGTGCATTTCAGAGTTGGTGTTGATTACGGGACTCGAACTCGGTACCGTTCGCTTCAAACGACATCACATAGCTAATTCACCACATTGCACAAGCAGGTGGCTATAAGGACTCAATAACTAAGTAGATAATGTGATGACGTTTGAAGCGAACGGCACTGCGTTCCAATCCCAGAGCGAACATCAACTCTGAGATGCATATACATCTAGTTGACGAGTCCCTAATAGGATGAAACATGTATCCTCAATTACACTGCTAACACAGTTCTACACTTTTTGAAACTGATCCATTATTTTTTTCGATCAACTATTTATTTTCACAAAAAGAATCACTATCCATTCAATATTAAAACTTAATTATTAACACTACTAAATTAATAGATGAATTCATGAGTTAATTGAAGCTAGACCAACATGAAAAACCTGGCAGTACTGGACGGCGTATCGACTATCCTACCTGGTGAGATTCGAACCCAAAACCTATCAATCTTGCACGCGAGAGCTTAACGACGAGACCACTGAGCCGGCCGGCATCCAACGGTATTGATGTCTAATTTCAACTAAATCCACTACTAACTTAATCTTATTTATAAATTAATGAAAATTAAAGTATATGTAAACTTTTAAAAAGTAAAAGTACTATAGTTTCCAGCTAGTTTAATTTCTAACTATATTGATTGATGATGTGATCATTAGAACACATGACAGTTATAATAGTTGTGTTGTGTTTTTTTGTTGTTGATTGTCTATAAACAACTACAAATCTCTTCTATATCGATAATTATAATTACAATTAATTGATTTACGAATAATGCCCCCCCGTCCCAAAAATAGATATCAACTAGAAATTGATTAATAAGGAACACAAAAGAATAGACAATTATTATGTTCTTGAGTAAACAACTACACAAATCAATATGTAATGAAAGTTAGAATTTTAAGATTGAACAATAAAAAGAGACTGATAGGTTCTAGGTTCGAATCTTGTGAGGGGGGAATAGTGGATGCGAACTGTTGAGGAGTACAATACTGGGACGAAATGGCCATCCACTGTTTCCAGGTTTTCCGTGGTGATCTAACTTTAATTAACTCATGAATTTAACTACTATGAACAATACAATTAACTGATTAAGTTCTAATTGTATAATGTATATAAAAGAACGTTAATCAATTTGTAATCCAATGAGATAATCATCAACTGTCATTGATATATAACCTCTTTAATTGTTACATTACAAATGTCATAGTTTAAGAGTGATTATTTGACTTCTGACAAATCACCTCCAAAGAATAATTATTAAATTGATGATAAAATTTGTTTGAAATCATAAGTCAATTGAAGCCAGACCACCATAGAAAACCAGGAAGCACTGGACGGCCGTTTCGTCCTAGTATGCGACTCCTCAGGACGAAACAGCCGTCCAGTGCTTCAAGGTTTTCCATAGTGATCTAGCTTCAATTGACTCATGCTTTCAATCAGTGAAATCTCTAAAATCTACAAAACTCCTTCTGATTAAATTTGTATTTGAGTTATACGAATTCTTCACGAAACTACAAATCAGAGACATGAACGTATTAAATTTCTGGATTGTTGAAGATTACTACACTCCAAATAAAGTGCTATTCTTTTTTTATTGTTTGTTCATTTGACATTAGTTTGCATAGAGAATCATCTGTGAACCTTATAGAAATTTTATAACCTATCTTAAGTATTAATAAATTCATTATTCTTTGTTAGAATAGTTCAATGAAGATTACTTTATTGGTTTGTATGTGATGCTCGTCATAAATTGACTTCAGTTGGAGTAAGATTTAAAAACTAGAAAGTACTGGATAAATGGTTTGTTCTAATAAGGGACTAATTAGAAATGAGTATAAGTGATTACAACAGGAATTGAGCTTAAGACTTTCAATTTCCAAAGTGAACATTTCAATTTATTCTTTGAAGTCATGATTAGTGTAGTTCAGCTACAACCTGGAGTGAATCATTAACATCGAACCATTTTAAGAATTAATTCAAATCGAAAATGGATCTTTACGAAACTTGAAGGTACTGTGTTAACTCCTTGACAAAGCTATGGATGCCTTTATCTGAAGTTTCCAATAATAAATTGAGATAACTATCTAGTAGTTTCTGGATTTGAAAAACAAGAACATGCTATAATCATAAGAAGATAAAACAGAATAACGACTCAATCGTTGAACATATTTCTTACTTGCTAAAGATTGATGTTGTTTATAAACGGAATTTTCATCCACAACACTTAAACGTTTGAAAAACTTAAGATGAATAGAATAAAACAAAATAAATACAATAACAGTTATATTATGAATCAAATAGAACATTCATTTAAACATCAAATGGAAGATAAATACGGGAATATGATTAAATAAGTGTAGTGTCGGTTATTATGTTAAGTCCATACATACCCTATTCGGACAGACCAATCTATTCATTCCAGTTGAGTTACATTTTGACCTTGTTAATTATTCACTTATCAACCGTGACTGTTTTTATATGAGCGTATTATGTGTGTGTGTGTGTGCCCTTCTTATCTTATTCATCATATAGCTGTAACTTATTTTTATGTAATTATAAATATTGATTAACGCTTGACTGAATGGAGTTGACTTATCCGCCATCTCCACTGAGCGTCGTTTCACTTCCCTCTATTGTATTTGCTTCATATACAAAATACATGTATTCAAAAGTCCATTCGCGTTATTTGACTTATCTAAATCCGCTATTGACTAATGCGATTAAAGTTGATGATTATATATGAGGATAGGTGACATATATATTTCAACAACAATCATTCATACGATCTACATGGAGTCAGATCTCGGGCCACTACATAATAATAAAATCATTATTAGTATTATTTTAGTAATGGAATTATTAAAGTCATATTGAGTGGTAGTTAATTACTAAGGTAAATCAGATGTATAATGAAAAAGAACTATTATATCATATAAAGTCTAAATTCAAAGAGTACAAATCAACAACTGTTCATTTAACCATTCGAAAAGATAATGTCCTGATATTAACACTCGAATCAAGTGTGATCCATAAGATTGAGATCCAGTTTATATGGTTTATTTTGTCCTAATGCATTATGTATGATAGGTATAATATTACACTAGATGATCTAAATTAGAGTACATGTAGTGAGATTTAAATCAGTAACTTAATATGGTTGAAATTCAAATGAATTAATCATTGAATCGATAGTAAATAAACATTTCAATGAATTTCGTCCGATAATCAAGTACAGTTCAAAATTTGGTCATTGATTAGTGATCGATTTCATGTTCGTCTAGTTCTCTGGATTTGGTATAGTTCTATCTATTGACTTGTAAGATGGCTACTCTTATCAATATGAGTTCCAGTCCAAAAGATAAAATGCGCTTTCTGGATTCCACTGTTATCCGCTATAACAACGTAGTTTATTTAGAAAACTGAGTATCAGCATCCTGAATATACTTACTCCTGTTACTCACAAAGGAGCATAGGCCGCCAACCAGCATTCTCCAACTCACTTCGTCCTCCGCCTTCCTTTCCAATTCTATCCAATTGTTGTTCATTCTTCTCATGTCTGTCTGTATCCATTTCTCGGGGTACTGTGTTCTTTGGTCTTCCTCTCCTCCTTTGGCCGTAAAGATTACAAGTGAGGCAGTTGGGTGCTTTCCTCAATGTGTGCCATATCCACTTCCAGAGGTTCTTCCTGACTTCTTCCTTCGTTGGGATCTGGTTTGTTCTCCCACATAGTAGGTTGTTGTTGATATTGTGTGGCCAACCGATCCGAAGTATTTTGTGTAGACAACTGTTAATAAACACTTGTATCTTCTGGATGATGGCTTTCGTAGTTCTCTAAGTTTCCACCTCAGACATTGGCACTGTCTTGAAATGTGTATTGAAAATTCTGACTTTGGTGTTGGTTGACAGATAGTCGTTTGGAATTCCACATGTTCTTCAATTGTAAATATGCTGCTCTCGCTTTTCCGATCCGTGCCTTCACATCTGCATCAGATCCACCGTGTTCATCAATGATGGTGCCAGATATGTAAAGGTTTTTATATCTTCCAAATCTTCTCAGTCAAGTGTGATTCGATTGGTGCTTGCTGTGTTGTATTGCAGAATCTTGGTTCTCCTATTGTGTATATTGAGACCTACTGCTTCTGAGGCTGCTGCTACACTGGTCGTCTTCTTTCGCATTTGTTGTTGCGTGTGCGATAGAAGAGCCAGATCATCTGCAAAGTCTAGACCATCCAGCTGCATTCTAGCTGTCCATTGTTTTCTATGCTTCCCCTCAGATGTTGACGTCTTCATGATGCAGTCGATCACCGGGAGAAAGAGAAAGGGTGAGAGTAAGCAACCTTGCCTGATACCGGTATTTACCTCGGACGAGTCTGTGAGCTGTCCTTCATGCAGGATTTTGCAGTTTAACCCATCGTAGGAACTCCGTATGATATTGACTATCTTCTCAGGTACGCCGTAGTGTCGAAGAAGCTTCCATAGTGTTGTTGTGTCCACTCTGTCAAATGCTTTTTCGTAGTCAATAAAGTTGATGTAGAATGATGAATTCCATTCAATTGATTGTTCCACAATGATCCGTAGTGTTGTGATTCGGTCTGTACACGATTGATTCTTACGGAATCCAGCCTGTCGGCCTCACAGTTGGGTGTCTACGCAGTCCTTCATTCTGTTTAACAATACCTTGTTGAAGACTTTTCCTTGTATTGAAGGAATCCTGAATTTAATAAATCTTATTAGTGTCAATAGAGGAAAATTGTAACCTCTGTATAAGCAAATTGTTTCTCAAGCAAATATACAACTATACATTTTGAATATTAACAGAAACCATTTTTAAGTTTCTGATTATTGATTGATATGTCACAATGGACTATTCTCGTTACTTGTGAGAGAACCCCTATAGTATTTCTTTCCATTCTCTAGATGTCAATTAATCAAGGAGACAAAACAGGATGTAAAACGGTAACGTAGTTAAATACCATGACTTATAAACACCTTAAAGGATATCTTGAACAACGAAACATGATAGAACATATGTACGGCCATACATAAGAAGTGGTTCATATATTGAAAACTTTGTAAAAATGAATTCTTCATGGTCCCAGCTTGCGTATTCATAGATTAGACTATATATATATAAACAATCATAAAACGTATTTAAACATTACATGAAATTAAAAAAATAACAGTTTTCATCTTCTCTTACAAACATAATGTACATACTTTTCGTTTTTGTTCTTTATGATCAGAACCATGACTACCACTAGCACCATTTAATGATAGATCAGATGAATCACTATCTGAATCAGATAAATCCAATGTATGCATTGAATGTGTTGATTCAATATCATCAATTGCTGTTAATGATGTATTAGAACCTTTTAATGTTGGTGTTTGACTATCTGATTGATTTGATTTATTATTATTAATAAGTGAAATATCTTTAATTGATAAACATTTTTCTAAATGACTAATTGATGCTTTCGGTATAACAACAGGACTAATATTCGCATAATGTTTCAATAATAATGGTTCTAAACGATATGCCTTGAAATAAATGAAGAAAAAAAAACATGGAAAAAATTTAACAATGTCAACTGTCCAATTTCATTTGTGAAATGAGTTAACATACTACTTATTAGATATCTGGTTATACATCATTGAATAATGAATATTAGTTGAATCTAGAACTAAGGTTAACTGGATGTGTTGAGGTGATCCAGAAAATTTCTTGCAAAAGACAAGCAAGGATCAGGAAACACTAAGAAGCTTTTCACCGAATCAGCGTTCACTTGTAGTTTTAGCCAGAAATATCAAGGAAGTGAAACGTCACATGTAGTGGTTCTGATTGGCTGGTTGTTATACGACTACTATGTTTGGTAGCATTCCAGAATCTTCAAGCAACCTAAGGACATTTAAAATATTATAAAAATCCTATGTTTTCCGTGTTGAAATGAATCTTTGGAGTAAAGTACTTCTCGCATACTTTTCTTCTTCTATCTCATGTTCAGGTCGCTGTATAGTTCTAGCTTGAGGGGGGTGTGTGTGTACAGAATAGCTTAGAAAACGAATATAGCGTTCAATTTGCCAGACTTATCAATTATCATGTTCATGTCTTCATAGAGACTTAGATCTAGTACCTAACATTACAAATGTCATGGTGTTATGAATATTATTACTTAGAAAAGCTTAATACATAGAAATGAATTCGACTAGTCTCTGATATCATTTGAGTTACTTGAGCGAACGATTTAATATTTTGGATAAATGTTAACAGTAAATACAAACCATTGTCTACTTATTAAACATCATAACATTTTCTCTATGAAAGATCATTTTGACAGATTTCACATTATCTAAACTATATGGTTTAATTGAAAGCTTCTCTGTCTATATACATCACACATGATTATCAGAGAAGTGTTTTATTCAGTTAGATATAAATTCAGCTATTGAAAATTACTAGAATCTCCACAAACCCTCATTCTAATCATAATCATGTACTCACTAGACAATGGATTCAAGATGGATTTCCTCGAGTTCTAGTGAGAAGCCGTGACCAATGGAGTCCAATCTGTGTTGGGTGGAGACAGCTATCCACTTCAGACAATGAATAAAGAGGTGCACAAGATCATGGATCAGTTGAAGTTAGACATTAACACCATTGGATGTCGGCTAAGTGGTTTAGAGGTTAACAGTTAGCGCATGAAACCGAAGGCCATGAGTTAGAGTCCCACATGCGGAATTGTAGGTGGACACTGTTCAGAAGTCTCATACTAGGACAAAACGACCGTCTAGTGCTTCCAGGATTTTCAACGTTAATCTAGCTTAAATTGACTGATGAATTCAACTATTGAAATTACTATAATCTGCACAACTCCCATCCCCGTTTAGACTTTTGATTCATCAATTTTCCATGTTACATCATTTAATCTGTATTGAAATGCGATGTTTAATTTAAAATTTATTTTGTACATTATGAAATAATCAGTTTTTAATCATCTTAGTTTCTAAATAAATCATCTATTGATTAAGTTTTACATTTAGTGATTCATGTAAAATAGACCATGAACGAAGTTTTGTTTCTATGTTCCGATTAAAATGTGAATAAATCAATTAAAGGATAATATATATATATATAATTCATATCTTAGCTCTATGGAATTGATCATTCAAAAGTGAAATATTTGTTATATCCCGACGATGATTGTGAATGGTAAGTTTAAGGATCTATTTGTGGACTAATACTATACAAATATATTTTATTGCATAATTGTTAATTAACTAAACTATACATATTCATGTCCCTCTTATTATGAGCTTTATTTTGACCTATGAACTATTATTATACGATGTACCATTCTTGAGTTATACTCAGTCTATTAATTACAGTCTACCACATTCACAGTCACATCTGGCTAATTCTTGTACTAATGTTATTTTCTATTTTATGTTACGATATGGTCTGTATGGTTTCTATATAAACCCAGTGTGTTTTGGAATACATGATTCATATCGCGGAGGCTGAGATTGGTGTCCTGGACTTAACAGGCAGTATTAAACAGAAAGCAGGACCGATAAGGACTCTAGACTGCTCCTATGGGTTTTGTGTGTCATTGGTCTAGTCGATAAGCCACTGTTCTCTAATTGGTAGTGTCATTACGTAATATATATATTTTCATAGGGACACATATTCCATGTACATGACTTACAATAGTCTTTTGGTTATATATTATTTTTAATAATACAGTCCTCAGTACATTATTGATAAGTATCTTATATACATCTTATGGAACAATTTGAATACATTTAACATTAAATAAATCATACTTATAAAAAGGAATCAGTATACAGATATAAGTGGATGATTGTTTATAAATGTAATAGTCTGTGATCGTCGTGTATGGTTGATCTAGATAGTTGACATGACGATTTAGTTGTTCAGTCGGATTCTTCGTTTCTTTTTTGCTAAAGGAGTATAGCTTAAATAGAAAGATTGAGGTCAGTGTCAGAACATGCAATTGGATGATCCAATTTTGAATCCCCCAATGAGCATCAGTACTCTTAAGTGTAGGTACGTGTTCGATTTTTGCCAACTAGTACGAAATCCATGTCAAAGATTTTTTCTAGATTACCTACACCTACCCTATACATAATGGAGTTCCTGGATGAGATACAATTTGCCGAAGATAATTACGATATTTATGATCTGGATTAGAATCAACGGCGATTAATCAGATTTAATTCAATATTTACTGTAGGATTTATTATTGCTTAACAAGTATATAGAGTTGTGTTAATTCAGTCGTTTAGATTTCTTTTGGGGATTATATCCAGAGATTATTATGTAATATTTTACGTGAGTAAGTTCTTGACTTTCTTCAAATCTTTTTATCTATATACAAAAGAAGTTTACTTCAATCAAAAGTGGGAGTGAAATACAGGATTAAAGTTTTGTTTTACATCCTACTTATTAGACAGATTTTAACTATAAAGCTCAAACCAAGTACCTGTTGCTTTAAACCCCAAAGCATTTTCTCTAACCTACTGAGATAAACGTAATATTGAAAATAAAAAAAACAGGAGAATGTGATCTGCTTTACGACATAGCCATAGTTTATTGTTTATCTTCTGATAGTACGAAGATGTCCATGTGATTCTATAATACTTCTCAATGTTAATTTGACTTTGAACAGAGAATAAAGAATGGCTTTGTAACTAGTTTCATTAGAAGTATTAGTGTTCGATGTATATCAGACAACAAATGTCTAGATTCCTCTAACAGTATAACCTATAGACAACATATATTCTCTCCAGCGTTACTTCAGTTCGATAGTTACGTTCTATGAGGTAGATGGATAAATCATGAAGTCTCTATTGCACTTTTATAAAAGATTAACACAAACTTTGGTTAGAAGTGAGCTATTGGAATTCCTCAACATATGATTAACTAATTATTAATGGTTGTTGCTGATACTTGTCATGTTAGTGTCTGAACATCCATTTTGGTAGTTTTCCTTTTTGACCTGATTTATGACCTAATATTTATCAATCATTTTTAGTTGGATGAATGTCGATATTTTTATGAATAGCTGATTGACCTAAGTTCCAACGTTTAAAATTTCCCTGGTCTTCTATGTATGTCATTTTCCCATAATCTCAACATTTTCTCAGTCGAACATGTAGATGTATGTATTTATATAGGCGAAGATCTATTTCGGCGTTTGAAAGATAATTAATTGTCATGATGATAAAGTCGTAGAATTTACAAAGAAAATGAGTTTTCATTGAATTATTCTACAAAAACTATTAGTATGGAATAGTTTCACAGTATTTGGGCACCGAGTTCATGTGAGACATTAAAGAGCAAGAATGTTGTATTTGTGAAAATCTCAGCGAAAGAATTTGAAGTAAATCCAACGTTTCACCTAGTAATCTGGTTCAAGCTTTTTAAAAGAAATACATCTTTACCAGTTTAGGGGTTGTGGAGATTGTTAAGTTTTTTGATTGAGATCATGAACCGATTGATGTTAGACTACTATGGAAAACCTGGAAGCACTGAACAGCCGTCTCGTCCTATTGTGGGACTCCTCAGCAGTGAGCATCCACGATCCCGCTCGCAGGATTCGAACCCAGGTCCGTCCAGTGCTTCCAGGTTTTCAATGGTGGTCTAAAATCAATCGGTTCATGACCTCAATCAAGAATATATATGTATATATCTTTATTTTAAATATGATCGAACAGTTTCACAGTATTTAGTCACCGAGTTGATGTGATTTCCTTGAAAAGTCTAGGACCAGATTACCAGGTGAAACGTTGGATTTACTTCAAATTCTGTCGCTAAGATTTTGACAAATACAACCTTCTTCTTCTTCTTCTTTACTGTTAGTGTGGATTTTAAGTCTTGATGTAATAATATAAGTGATTTCAACTTTATTTGATTTAGTCACTTTAATTGAGAAGTATTTCATTTTCATTTCACATCAATGTTTAATTCAAATAGAAATAGGATCTTTAGAAATTGAAAACCTTTATAGCTTCATCTTCAACCTAATTACAATGATAGACAGCTGATCAAACTAATGTATTCTTACTCTCAATGTTAAGATGAAATACATGTGGATATCATACAATCACATATACATATACATATAGATTGAATTCCTTTAATAATAAGTAGTAATTCATTTGTTAGCACAGTTACTTAATACATTTATGATACCATTTATTGCTACAAATGTAGTCAACAACAACAACAACAACAACAACAACAACGACGACAAGAAACACTTGCAATTGTAAATCAATTCAATTTGGTGACAGTTTACAGCAATACATACAGACATACACACACACGCACACACATACACCTAAGCAAACATGCACAAAAAAGAGGGAATCTGGTTTATTTTAAAATGAAACAGATGACTTTAATCTCTTGTAGAGAAGAAAAAAAAGAGAAAAAAATAAATCTGTCACCCTCCTCTTTTTTCTTCATTAATTATCAATAATAAAAATTTTTTTTCTTTTTAATGATGTGTAATCAA